CACTACGCCACCAATTAGAGACCACCCTTGAACAAGATCCCCAGGTGGTCCCTGCAGAGCTGACAGTTAGGGCAGGGTCATCTGAGGGTATCATTAGATGCCCACCCCATGCCGCCCCAACAGCAGAATGAGACGCTGCCACCCTCACAAGGGTGGGTCTTGTTCAGGGGCTCTGGGAGGCAGAGGGAATTTTCTGCGGGGGGTGGGGTGGGCGTGGGGGATGAGAGCGAAGCCCAGCATGGATCCCAGCCATCCTGGGTCCCAGGACAGGACAGGGTGTGGCAGTGACAGTGTGACCCCTGCCCATCCTGTGGTCCACCCAGGGCAGGGAGGGATGGTGTTCTGGTTCTGGTGTGCTGACCATGGAAAAGATTCTAGAAGTTTCTTTTGCCAAGTTGCTAGACAGATGCGCCGTGTGTCCTGTCCGTCCAGGAGTCCCGGTGGGCGTGAGCATTTAGGCCAGGGCCTGTCTCGCCGAGGTTCACCAACATGGGCTTTTCACCTCGGAGGGGTTCACAGGTGACACCTACGCCTCCCCTCAACACACACACACACACACCCACACCCACACCCAAACCCACACCCACACACACCCCTTGGAGGGGTTCACAGGTGACACCTCCCCCCCCACCCAACACACCCACCCACCCACTCACACCCCTCCCTGCTCTGTCCCTTGTGGATTTGGTTGGCTAGGAAGAGTAAGCACTTCATGTGTGTATTGTCTCCTCCCCCTCCCCGCCCTGTGTCTGCGTGACCTCTTTCCGTGGACCTCCACCAGGCCTTCCCTCCTCTCACCCCCAGAGGGGGGGCCTTGGGAGGCTGTGGCAGCCTCTGGCCACCAGATGGCGCTCTGGCACCGCTAAAGTGACCCCCCTACCTGTGCTCTGGAGGGTCCTGGCTCTGCTCAGCCTGGCCCAGGGAGGGGACATTTACTCCTGGGTCATATACTCACAGGCATTCTGAGGAGTCGAGGGATGAGGGGATGCTTGGAGGATGCCCCCTATCTGACTGCCGGGAGCTGCCCATCCCTGCCAGCGCAGGTATCTCGTGTTATGGTTTATGATGAACGTCTGTTTACATGAAACTTCGATCACGTATGTGAAAAGGTGAGCATGAAAGCACACGGCTTGTCCTCACTCACTGACTATGGCGTATGGATGTGCCGCAGGCTCTGGTCAGCCGTCCCACGGGGGGCGGGGGGGCTCTGCCTGGGCCCGGGGTGTCCTCCATGGGCCATTTCCAGTGATGCACTGGAGGTCTTGGTGACCACCGGACCACACGAGGGACGGTGGCCTCTTTTTGTTGGTGATCTCTGTCTGTCCACAGGGGGCTGGGAGAAGCTGGGGGTGGGGGGCACGTGAGGCCCCAGGTGGGCGCAAGGTCTGAAGGTGGGGAGCTGGGAACGGGCTGGACCCCAGTGCAAGATGTATGTGCCAGATTCCCACTTTCCCAAACGTATGCAGACATGTGTGGGTTGCAGATTCGCTGTCCTGGCCCCAGGAGACCCTGTGTTCTAGGGACGCGGCCCGGGGCAGCAGGGCACAGGCACAGGGTCACAGACAGAGGGGAGAAGGCACAGGGGCACCATGGATGACGTGAGGCCTGGCCCACAGTGCTCAGGCTGCACAGTCCTGCCTGTCAGCTGCTCGGGCATAGCGTCCAGGGCCCAGTCTCTTCTCCTCCGGGGCCAAACCTCTGTGTGGCCTCCGCCCCGTGGCTGGTCCTGGAGCCTGCCGGTCACACTCCATCCCCATGCCCAGCCACGAGGGTGGAGGACAGGTCCCCTGTGAACTGAATGTCACCAAGCAGCTCCCAGCTCAGTGGCCACTCAGCCTTGGTCCTTCCCCCTCCCCTCTCCCCTCCATGGCCCAGCCCTGCACCCGTAGAATGACTGCCTAAGGGTGGGCATTATCCTCTACCAGGGCTTGCTCTGTTCTGATGAAGCTGACCTATGTGAAAAGCAGCCCCTGCCCAATTCCCCCCTCCTTGACCCCCCTGACCCCTGTGCTCGGCCCACCCTGACTTGGCCTGAGTGGGTGGCTTGGCCACTAGGCCTCCTCTCACTGGCTGACACCCTCTGACCCCCGCCCCACATGAAGA